GCGCCCCCAGGAGCCCGGAGCCCGCCCAGCCGCCTCTCGGAGGCCCGTAGACTGGACCAGGGAGCAGGGGACCCGGCCCTGCGTGCAGACGCCAGCCTTTCAGCGCGGCTGGATCTCGTGCCTGCTCTATGGTGCTGGCCGCGGGGACAGGGCCAGAGACGCATCGGTGGAGCCTCCTTCGCCAGGGTCGCCTGCTGCCCCTCGCTGGCCGCCTGGTGGCACAGCCCACACTGCGCCGTGGCCTGGGGAGTCTCAGTGCCACCCCCCTCCCCCGACGGACACTTCTCCCCGGATACAAGCAGCTCACACTGTGACGTGTGACTCCGCAGCGCCTTCCCGCGCTAGGGGGTCGCAAAGACGTGCTGCACTTAGGACGCCACAACCTTGTAAATAAAATGTTTACTACGGTTTGTAAAGAAAGGCTGCCTGGCTGGCACAAGGTCAGGGATCTCTGCGCTGGGCCTTAGGCCTGGGCAGCAGGTCACAGCGGCTGGAGGGGGGCTAGAGCTTTGGGGTAAGTGCTGCAACCTCAGAGCCACGTGGCTGCAGAGATGGGGATGAGGTTTAGCGGCTCCAGCAGTTCAGAGGAGTCTTAGCCCGTGTTGCTGGGTGACCCTGAGTGTGGCCTGCAAGCTGAGTTGTCGGTAGAATCCATTGGGGCAGATGGCTTTCCCACGGAAAGTCAGGACTCCAGGAGTGTGCGATGAGCAGCTCGCAGGCTTTCGGAAGATGCGGAGTTGGGATGGAAAAGAGGTGGTGCCTGTGGGGTCAGTGTGGACACAGCCTAGACTCCCAGGGTGGCCACTCAGTGCCGGGCCTGGAGCCGGGAGGCAATTCCAGGGCAGCATGTCCCTTGCTCAGGTGTGGCCGGCGGTGTCCTGATGGAAAGGACAGGCAGACCACAGTGGTTGTGGCTGGAAGGCCAGGCCTGGGATGGCTTTAAAGATGCCCAAGCGATTGCATGGCAGAAAGGTGTCTTGTTCAAGGTTTCACCGAGGCAGAGCCCCAGACCAGAACTCCCGCCTCCTGGCTCACTTTTGGCCAGTGATAGGTCTACGAAACTGCACACACACACACACACACACACACACACACACACACAATCTTTCCTCATAATTTGGTTCCTGCAGGCACATGATTGCCCCCTCCCCCAAAGCTGCCACGATTTGAGAGGCAGTTTCCCCATCACAGTGCAGCTGGCATAAAGCAAACCTATTTTAACTCCACGCTGCCACTGGGGTGGGCCATGCAAAGTTTTTTTTTTTGAAAGGTTGAAGAGTCAAACCTCTCTCCAAGACCAAAGGTCCTCCCCGGCTCAACTTCCCTGGAAATTACAAAATGTTTGGAGTTTGTTAAAAGTTCTTTGGGGAGATTTTAAAACAAGTAGACGTTGTTGTCGACGAACCTGATCACCCAGGTCTGTTTGGCATGGGGCTGTGGGCCTCTTACAGACCAATTATCCATGGGGCAGGGGGGCTGGTTGTCATGGAGAACAGTGCTTCTGTGAGATGTGAGGTCAGGGAGCCTAGGACCCCCTCAGGGGGGGGGGGGGGGGGGGGGGGAGAGGCTCCCCAGTCTGGCTTAGCTTCTCCACTTTGACCCATTTGCTTAAGCTCATTGAAAATGTCCCTTCCCGATTTTCTCAGGCCCAGGGGCAGAGTAGAGACCCCAAATTTAGCCTTCCCTGGTGGGGCGCATCAGACACCTGGGCAAGTCCCAGAGCACAGCCCAGGGATGAAGGCTGCCCATTTCCTACCCCAGTCACCCCCTCCCGCAACCCCCCACGCAGCAAGGGAACTCCTAGAGCAGCGGTTCTCAACCTGGGGGTCGCGACCCCTTTGGGGGTCGAACGACCCTTTCACAGGGGTCGCCTAAGACCATCGGAAAAACACATATATAATTACATATTGTTTTTGTGATTAATCACTATGCTTTCATTATGTTCAATTTGTAACAATGAAAATGCATCCTGCATAAAAGATATTTACATTATGATTCATAACAGTAGCAAAATTACAGTTATGAAGTAGCAACGAAAATAATTTTATGGTTGGGGGTCCCCACAACATGAGGAATTGCATTAAAGGGTCGCGGCATTAGGAAGGTTGAGAACCACTGCCCTAGAGGAATGTGCACAGTGGGGAGGGAGAGGGAAGACCAGGGTGGTCGGAGGCCGGACCACCACGTCACTCCCTCCAGGAGGGACCTTAAGCTGAAGGGGACTGTGAGCCAGCTGTTACCCCGAAATGTGCCCCAAGATGGGTGAGCAGCCTTCCCCATCTGCCCTGGGGTTCCAGCCCCGCCTGCGGTGGCTCCTTTATTCCTCCCACTGGCTCTGCTACTGGAACTGCCGCATCTCTCTGTGCCTTTATTGTGGAAGTCCGTTTTCTCCCAAGCCCTAAGTATTGAAATTCTGGAACCAGGAATTCCCAAGAACATGGAATTAGGAGGCGCTGGAATCCAGCTCTGGCGTTAAGGAGAGTAACGCGGCAGGATGTGCACCTGGTTGAGGACCCGGGCCAGGGAGAAGAGGGGGGAGAGGTTTTGCATTATGCTCCCCACAGCTACCCTGCCCTTGCGGGGGGCCTGCAGCCCCCCAATCCCCACCTGGGCCCAGTTTCCCGAAGTGAAGGCAATCTTCGCCCAGGGACTGTAATAATGTGACTTCGGGTAAAATTAGGCCTTATCTCCACCAGGTTCAGCCAGATGAGAGGGCGCGGCGGGCTGGGAGGCGGGTACCTTGGGGTGGGGGTCGGATGCTCCGGAGGCTGGTACCCCCACTTCCTCCGCCACCCCCACTTGCGTTCCTGAACACGTTCCCAGTGAAACGCCAGCGGGGCTCTCCCCGAGGCAGTGGAGTTCTCCCACATTTTCATGGACGGAGAATCGCAAGACCCAGAGAATGTAACATTCGCTTGACAGAGCAGTTCCCGGACCCAGGGCCTCCCCGGGCGGGCGGGGTGGCCGGAGGAAACCCGCAATTCGGCTCAGGTTGCCCCACCCCGGGAAGGCTG